TATATAGTTTAAAAAAAACCTAGTTGGCTGCTAAGCAACAGGCAGCGGTGGCAAAAACACCTGGCGGGCCAGATAAATGTTTTCATTGGGCCGCATGTGGCCCGCGGGTCGTAGTTTGAGGACCCCTGATTTTAACGTTCTTGAAAGCTGTCAAGTTTACCACATATAAAACATTAAGTAATCTTAAAAAGAAAAAAAGTCCTTAGTTTTTAAGTTAGAAAACCAATTACACAGAATAAAGTGCCTTTTCTGTCAAAGGCTCTCAAAGTACTTTCTAATTAGAACTGTTCTCCTCTTTACAAATAATGCTGCCCTTCTGCAGGTGGAGCAAATAGGTCATGCAAGATCATAAACCAAACCAATGTAGAAGCAGAACTCCAAAACCCAAAGGTTAGTGAGCCTTCCTCAGTACTACAAAGATAATCTCTTAAAACACTCAATTACCAACTAATCCTTTCATCCTATATAATAAAGCGGCAATCTGCAAATTGACCATCACTCCAACACACAAGATGGCCACCCCCATGTGGACACAAGATGGCCACCACAAGATGGCCAACAGGGGAGGGCAGTTGTGGGCAATCAGGTAGCAAGGGAGGACAGCTGGAAGGAACCAGGCCTGTAAGGGAGGGCAGCTGGGGCAATCAGGCCTGCAGGGGAAGGCAGTTGGGGGGGACCCAGGCCTGCAGGAGAAGGAAGTTGGGAGCAACCAGGCCTGCAGGGGAGGGCAGTTGGAGGGGACCAGGCCTGCAGGGGAGAGCAGTTAGGGGTGACTGGGCCGGCAGGGGAGGGCAGGTGGGAGCGACCAGGCCTGCAGAGGCAGGCAGTTGTAGGGGAACCAGGCCAGCAGGGAAAAGCAGTTAGGGGGGACCAAGCCTGTAGGGGAGGGCAGTTAGGGCAACCAGGTTGTCAAGGGAGGGAAGTTAAGGGTGACCGGGCCAGCAGGGGAAGGCAGTTAGGGGCAATCAGGCCGGCAGGGGAGCAGTTTGGCATCATCAGGCTGGCAAGGGAGTGGTTAGGGGCAATCAGGCAGGCGAGCAGTTGGGAGCCAGCAGTCCTGGATTGTGAGAGGGATGTCCGACTGCCCACTGGGATCAGGCCTAAACGGGCAATCAGACATCCCTCGAGGGGTCCCAGAGTGGAGAGAGTGCAGGCTGGGTTGAGGGACACACACACACACACACACACACACACACACACACCGTGCACAAATTTCGTGCACCGAGCCTCTAGTATATAAATAAAGAAGCGGCTCAAATACGTGCCTTTAAACTTTTCAGAACTTTGACTTTATGTTGAATGAAAGGGGCTAAGCAAGCAGTGGATGAAATATTTGAAAATAATTTGTTGCCTTAAGCCTAAAATATTTCCCTATCTTCCTTTTTATGTTTACCTTCTAAAACAGCAGTGGTCTGTGAGGTCTGAAAGGTTGGCGACCACTGAATTTGAATAGGGGCAATTAAAGCACTTGTACCGAGACCTTCAGCTAAGAGCTATAATTCAGACAACCAACAAGGTTTGAAGAAGATGTTTTAACACATTTTGTACCGCTCACGAGTTTTCTCGTGTTTCATGCGCCATCTGTTAAGGACCGCTCACGAGTGTTCTGTTTTTCACACCCATGGAAAAAGGAGCGAATCTAGATACTTATGTAAATTTTGTTTGGTCCCTCTTCATAGAGGAAAATGTTTTACGCAGTACCATACGCTAAAAAAGTACTAGGAACTTTAATTTTTTAATTGTTTAATTGTTTTTGTAAATAAAAATGTTATAATTATTGAAAAACAACACCTAAAGTGCATTATGATGATTTAAATAACGTGCAGTTTGCCCAAAAACATGAGGTCCCTGGTGTATGTCTTAGAGATTTCTATGCGGTACGCAATGTGTTAAGCCACTTCTTTAGCAAGATTTCTAAGATAGGCTCCAAATCTTGCAAAATGACACCAAGAGTCTACTAGTGGCTTTGATGAAAAAAATATAACAAGATCAGAACTCGGCTGGAGATCCTGGCTAGAGAACCAACTATGCTGATCAATTGGATAAATAAATAAATAAATAAATAAATAAATAAATAAATAAATAAATAAAATAACAAGAGCCAAGTAGCCTGAATGTTACTTTCAATTATTTTTAATATAGCCAATTCTCTTTGAATTCTAAAGATTCCTACATTCTTGGACATAGGTATTTACTCTAATGAAGTGTCCCCTTCCTTCTTCTCTTTTTCTCCCCACCCCCCCAATACAAACACACATAAAATAACTGCAGCAAAAATATACCATGCCTAGCTTGGTATATTTCATGCAATGTACTTGAAATTTTAGAGTTTATATGGGTAACGGCTGTATTTATACCCGTCGCCTCCCAGAGAGATGTTTTATTGCTTAAAGGGAAGAAAATTTAATAAAGTTAAACTAGAAGCTGTGCTTTTTAAAATTTTTATTATAAACAATATCTTCATTTCTCTTATATGCCAATCTCCCTTTAATCACTCCCAACTTGCACCTATGCAAATCCTAACTAGATGTTTCCCAAGTCTTATTTCTCCCTCCATTCATGTAATCATAAATTAGTCCTGCCAATACTTATCACTTCCCCCACCCTTTTTTTTTTAATCCTCACTGAGGACATGTTCACTGACTTTTAGAGAGAGGAAAGGGGGCAGGGGAGAGAGGGAGAGATCGGTTTCCAAGCATCAAACCCCCAACCTAAGTACTATGTGCCTTGGCTAGAAATGGAATGAACCCAACACTCCAACCAACTGAGCCACACCAGCCAGAGCCCAATCACTTTCTAAACTCAAGAAAAAACATGCACTTTTCTGTTGTCATATGTATTCACTGCTTCCTCAACTAGTTAAAGAAAGTTCCTTGTGTATAGAAACTACTCCATACTTAGTTTGTCCCCTTTGTGCCTAGACACTGGTTATGCTTCCAAAAAATAACTTCAGTAAGTATTTGTATTTTCAGAGGGAAGTATATTAAGCATTTTTTGAATACTCCCAAAAATCAATTTTTATAAAGCTTATTAAAATGAGATTTTACCGTCAATCATTTTACAAGTATTGGCTTTGTTATTCTAAGGGCACATGCTTTTGGAGAGGAAGCCATGTCAGAATCCCAGCTCCACCACTTAATAGCTGCATGACCCTGGGCAAATTAATTCATTTTTATTGGCCTTTTTCCTTATCTGCATAATAGCACCAACCTGATAAGAGTTACTGATGAGATAATGCATGCATGTTTATGTACGGATCTGAGGAAATATATATACATATATCCAAAAATAGCACTTCTAGGAAAAATAAGGAGAATGAAGTTTGGAGATCTTTTAAAAGAAGCATTTTTGGGCAAAAAAGAAAGATTTTAAAAATATTTATTTTAAGTGTCATTTAAATAAAATTCACTTTCTATTCAATTCTGTTCACTATTCTTCAATTAGAATTCATCTTTAGAGATTACAAAGTCTTGCTTGCAAAACAGCAACAGGATATTATTTTGATTTTGTGTAATTAATTTTTAAAACCTGGGATTAGATTTTTGGTGGAGTGGACCAGATTAGAATCACATGAGTGGAGAAGATAAATGTGGTTTTCCAATCTATACTTAATATCAGACACATCTGTTAACTTTCTGCTCAAACTTTGCTCCAGTAGTTAATTTAGAAAATCTATTACCCTATAACCAATATGATTTGTTGATGTGCACTGTTTCAATGATATTAGACAGGCACAGGAAACACAATGACACCTACCAATACTCTCGTAAAGCTCTAGGGGAAAAGAACAAGAACAGACCAAAAACCCATGAACCTAAAATGATAGGACACTGGACTCTGATCATAAGAGGATTCAGAAACATTGGAAACAAAACCTTTTAACAAAGGAAGCAAGAATCTCAGGACCGGAAAAAAAAAAAACACACAAAAAACCAAGAGTTTAACTATTTAATATCTATCCATAAGGGCAGTCTACAAATATTTGCTATAAATCAGGAAAGGAATTATCTTCATTTTGAATCCTCAGAACCTAGCACAGTGCCTGGAACACAGAATACTGGCTAAGTCAAAGAACAAATGTATTTAATGAATGGTATCAAAAAAGAATTCATAATATAACTATTATCCATTTATTTAAAACATTAAAATAGATGTGGGATATTTTAAATATCTGATACACAAAAAATGAAACAGAAGGAAAAAACTTAAGGTAACTCTCTAGAACAAGAAAATCACAAGCCAGAGCCCCCAATTTATGAACCTGTAACATCTTTAGCAAAGCAAACTGTATGTTCTACCTTATCACCAATACATTCTTATTGTAAACAACTAGAATCACTAGAAATCAACTGTACTTCATCTATACTCCCCTTTCTTTTAGAATTATGGCAATCTTCCCTGCCAATATAACAGATGATAGTAAATTTTGTTTTTGCAAATTTTAAACTTTACCAATAAACAAAAATTCTTGTTTCTGAATTCTATGTACATAAGGAATGACTGGCTCAGGCCTCTACTTCTGGAATTATTTTGCCAGAAACCTAACACCTTCCTCTTCACAATGGAGCTCTAAACAACTTCCTCAAACATGGCACTACTCTAAAAATAGGTTATCAACATATTTTGAATAATAACCAATCTAAATCTCCCTTCTTCTAGCAAATGAAAAATGAAGCAAAGGTAAGGATGTTGGATGCATATAAAATTAAATTATTTTGTAAAATTTTAACACCTCAATTTACAACTCACTAGTTAATACTAAATAATTTGTGCTCATATTTTGGTTGTTTTACCTTGTTTTTAGGACATTAGGCTACGGTTAACATTCCTATGAGATCGTTTTGTCAACATTCTGCAATATTCCATTCCTATCATGAGAATGGCAACAAGGAAAAGCAAACACATACTTCTGGAGACTAGAATCTAATACATCTGAAGAAAGACAGTTCCAACCTTCCCTTAAAAACACGCCCACTTTTCTGACACACCAATTCACTCACCTCTCCCATCGCTCTTCCCTCCAGAGCAAGTGCTTGAAAATCATGATTCAGTTCATCCATAGAACGTACCTATTGTTCAGAATAGAGGAGGGAAAAGTTTCAAGTCAGCATCTTGAATTTTACATACACATTAAACACAACTGAAAAGCTTTTGTTGACTTTCAGATATTGATAAAGACAGTTAACAATTTTCAAGAGATTGAGATTAAACACTCACTTACCTTTAGCCATCAGGGTTCAGCAATGACCCCTGCTTTCTCCCCTCCCATTCCCTTTTGTTTTCAAAACATGAAAAACATATAATCCAAACAAAGAAAAAGCAAATTACAGCACAAGAATTATGTTAGCTTTTTTCATACATTTTAATTTAATTATTAAAGACCAACATACTGAAGAGCAATTACACATGAGGATGATTATGTAACCTAAACCTGGTTGCTAAATCAAAGACCAAGTACTTGTACCCTTGTCCCCAAACAGGAGCATATAAATTAGGGAACTCATTTGATCCAACCCAGTATTTCTTTGATAAACCAAAGGGAAAAGGGTGCCAACTATAACAGAGTGCCCCAACATTTCTCCATACTGAAAGATCTCGGGGAGGCTCCTAGAATCTCAAATTTAGAGGGGAAAAAATAGCATATCACAAGAATTCCTTCAAACTTTACCTATCAGTAAATGTACTACCTACATCATAACCTTTCTGGGCTTCCATTAACTCATTCCTGTCATTACTACAAGGTAACGGTAGGATCAAGGATGAAGCATGAAACAGATTATTCAAAACATTCAAAATTAGCCCTGGCTCAGTTTGTTGGGAGTGTCATCCCATACACCAAAAGGTTGTGGGTTCAATTCCCCATCAGGACACATCCTAGGTTAAGAGCTCAATCCTCAGTTGGGGCATGTACCAGAGGCAACCAATTGATGTTTCTTTCTCTCAGTCTCTTTACCTCTCTCTCTCTCTCAATAAAAACATATCCTCGCCCAGCCAGTAAATGCAAAGAAGATCAAGCTTGGGCCAGGCAGGGAAAGGGAAAAGTACAGAGAACAGGAACCAGAATACAACTCAGGAACCCAATTTAAGGATTTATTAACATGCTGCCTATATATCACCCAACAATCTTAATTTAACTGAACTGACACCACATAAAAATACAGTTGCATTGTTTTAAATCACATTATTTTCAAAACTCAGAACTGATACTATGCTAGAAATGGCACCTTGTGTCACTAAGATGTAACAGCTTTGAGATGCTTGCTAAAAATATAAATTTATAAAATTCAAAATGGCCCTGGCCAGGGTGCTTCAGATGCCTGGGCATTGTCCCGTGCACTAAAAGGTTGCAGGTTCGATTCCTGGTCAGGGCACATGCCTGGGTTGTGGGCTTGATTCTGATAGGGGGCGTATGGGAAGCATCTCATCAATGTTTCACTCTCACACTGATGTTTCTCTCTTTCTCCCTTCCTCTCTCTCTAAAAATCAATTTAATAATAAAAAAAAAATTTTAATGTTAAAAATGAAGCTAAAATTCAGCCAAGAGAACAAAGACAGAGACAAGCCTTGTTATTTTAGTAAAACAGTTTGAAAAGGCCTTGAAACAGAAAGTATGACCACACTGTAAAGTATTTAAGTAAGCACACTGAATAAGCTCTAAGCAATATGCAGTAAAAAAAAAAAAATAGGGGAGCCACAACCGCTTTGGTTCAGTGGCTAGAGCGTCAGCCTGCGGACTCAAGGGTCCCAGGTTCGATTCCGGTCAAGGGCATGTAACTTGGTTGCGGGCACATCCCCAGTATGGAGGTGTGCAGGAGGCAGCTGATCAATGTTTCTCTCTCATCGATGTTTCTAACTCTCTATCCCTCTCCCTTCCTCTCCCTAAAAAAACAATAAAATATATTTTTTTAAAAAAATTAAAAAAAATAGGGGAGGATGAGGACAGGATGTTAGCTGGAAACTCTACATGTTAAATGAAATCATTTTGAGTTTTAAGGTCAAAGTTAACATTTACAAAGCATGTAAATCAAATGCACAAAGCTCTGTATCTAGCTCTTTCTGAGGAATCTGATCAGACATTTAATTAGAGCTAGACATTTCTTAAAAATCCAAAAATCTACAAATAGTTTTAACCAAGAACACTGAAAATTCTATTATTTCCCAAGGAAAATGTAGGACTAGGCAAAGACATAACATACAATATGCATATTTATGTAATCATCACAACATTCTCACAGATTATTCCCATTTAAGAGACTAAGAAATAGCCCAGGTGACATGGCTCAGTGATTGAGCATCAACCTATGAACCAGGAGGTCACAGTTCAATCCCGTCAGGGCACATGCCCAGGTTGCTGGCTTGGATCCCCAGTTTGGGGCATGCAGGAATCAGCCAATCAATGATTCTCTCTCATCATTGATGTTTCTATCTCTCTCTCCCTCTCCCTTCCTCTCTGAAATCAATAAACATATATATATATTTTAAAAGATATTAAAAAACAGAGCATCAGAGAAATTACTTACCCAACCATTGTTAAGTAGGGAAGAGGACTTAAATGGCATTGCTAGGATATAAATCCAGGTCTTCCAATTTAAAGAGCAAGGTCCTTTCTACATCACCAAGCTGCCTTGATGGAAGTTTCCATCCCTAGATAAAACTGCCTTCTGTTTCTGCTGTTGGTTTTGGTAAGTATGCTTTCATGGTCTTTCTTGTCTTTGCTTTCCACTGTCTCCTCCCCCTAACTTCAAAATATGCCCACCCTCCCCTTGCAGCAATTTCCACTCCTTTCTATTCTATCTTCCCACTCATTCTCTCTCACTACTTATTTGCTCACTAGCTCACCCTCTCAGGTCTCCTCTCTCACTCACTTTAGCTCTCTCTTCACCTCCCATCCTCCCTCTTCCGTGGTGTTTCCATCCGCCTCACCTACCTCTGAGTACTGCCTTCCTACCTCCTGTAGAGAACTGTTGAGAAAGCCTCACTTTGTGAATTTTTCTTTGCTAGTCCAGAACCTCCATTTTAAACCATTTTTCCATAGTTGTCTACACCAGAAAGACCAAATCATTCTCACAAAACTGTTTTTAAATTAGTAAGGAACTTATTGTTTAAAACGGGAGCTACACTTGGTATGGTCATCAACACCAGGCAGACTCTGCAGCCAAAATTCTTCCTAGAAAACATAACTAATGATCAGAAATCAGATGCTCAGGAATTAAATCAAAGAATGAAGACAGGGAAATGTAAATAATATTATAAGCAGGTAACAAAAAGCCTTTTCTATCATAAAGGAGAAAGGCTGGCTGTAAATTACTATTATCAGAGTAAATGCTCTCAGGAAGACAGAATAATCTTTTCAAGTTCTTGTACTAAAACTCTTCTTCCTCTAGAATTCAATTTGAGTGGCCAATGTTAATTTCCAGTATTACTAAAATTCCTTCACTTTTGCTAAATGTTTCTAAGACTCTACTAACTGACCTTATCTATCTCCTTCGATTTCACAAAATTATTTCCTATTTTTCTCTTTGGGCTACTTGCCAGTAATGTAACTTTCTCATGTCCATCCAGGACTTTCTCTACTGCTACCCCTCCCCATAAAGGCATCTCCCACGCCCTTTATTAAAGAGTCAAAGCAAGAGGCCACTGCAGTGCCTGACCTACCTCTATATTCCTCTCTTCATTCCACCCAGTGATACATGACCTATGCTTCTGAGTTTCCCTTCCATTTCCAGATCCCAGAGCTTTCTTTTGTAAGCCTCAACATTTGCCTTCTTCTAACAGGAATCCCATCCTAACTAGAACCATAATTTAGCAAATTAAGTGTGTGCTTAACCATTCAGAAAGTTATAAAATCAAAACAGATATACTCAGAACTATACATCACATATGGAAAATAAAAAACCAGCCTTAGCCAGTTTGGCTCAGTGGATAGAGTGTCGGCCTCCAGACTGAAGGGTCCCAGGTTCGATTCCGGTCAAAGGTACATGCCTGGGTTGTGGGCTCAACCCCAAGTAGGGGGTGTGCAGGAGGCAGCCAATCAATGATTCTCTCTTATCATTGATATTTTCATCTCTCCCTTCCTCTCTGAAATTAATACAAACATATTTTAAAAAATAATAAAAAGATCCTAAAGCCAAAAAAAATTTTAAAAATTAAGCAAAAACATCACAAATCTTTATTTTAAAAATCATATTCTAAAGTGCCTACCCTATCCATCACCCTTGAGAAACCCTACTTACCATACCCAATGTTCCATATACACTTATCAGAATCACCAATGAATGTTACACACTTCATTGTTTCCTCATATATAAAACTGAGATAATAGGCTATTTTACAAGTTTGTTATAATGATTAAGTGAGGTAAAATGTCCAACTTAGTAGGCACTTATTCAACTGGACCCACTCACAGATCATTCTCTTTAAGAGACTAAAATGCCTCCTCCACAGATTCATCCCTTCTTTCCCTACCTTCAGTCAGTACAGGGCATGCTTTGCTCATTTCTTGGGGAAAAGGAGGGCGGGGGCGCAAGGGCAGCAGGAGGTTCTATTCAGGTATTTCCATAATCAGTACATTAGAAGTACGTACCTAGATCATGTGAACAGCTAACTTACTTTTTTTTTTAATATGTCTTTATTGATTTTTAGAGAGAAGAAAGGAGGAGGAGAGAAAGATAGAAACATCAATGAGAGAGAAACATCAATTGGCTGCCTCCTGCACACCTCCTACTGGTGACTGAGCCTACAACCTGGGCATATGCCCTGATCGGGAATCGAACCCTGGTTCCTGGGTCAGTGCTCACCCACTGAGCGTCACACCAGCTGGGCCTAACTTATTTTCTAAAACTTAGCATTTCAAAAGTACTTTCATTTTTCTCTCTTCTCAATTTCCAGCTAAATAATCCGGAGAAACTTCCATTCTCCATTCTCATCCATTCCAAAACTTAAAAAAAAAAAAAAAAATCATAGCATGTTCTTTCAGTTCTCATTTTGTGAAAAAGAATCTCAGTAAAGTCACCATCTAAAATTCCTTCATTCCTTGACTTAGTAGTACATACCACTATGTCTCCTGATTCTCCTACCTCTCTATTTAGATTTTGTCTCTCTTTTTGCCAGCCAACATTGCTATCAAAGAAAAATATTTAAACTTAAACTTAGGCACAAAGGAATCCTAATGTAAGAAGTTAATGACAAGAACCAAGATGGCGGCATAGGTTAACGCTGGAGTTTGCTGCTTTGAACAACTACTTCAAAAGTGAAACCAAAAAACGGAAGGGACATCACCCAGAACCACAGGAACGCTGCCTGAGTGGAAGTCCTACAACTAGGAGGAAAGAGAAACGCATACGGACACTCAGAGGAGGCGCAGTGCTGAAGTCAAATTCTGAGGTGCGGAGTGCGCGAGCGGGCTGGCGGCGGAGGGCGCGGTTGGCGTTTTCAATCGGGAGGGAGTCGCAGAATCTGAGCTCCAGATCCGGGCGAGTCTTTAGGGACCCAGACTCAAACGGGAGAAGCGGGACTGTCTGGCTTCGGTCAGAGCGAGTGCAGCTTTCTCTCTGAGCTTTGCAGCGGGTGCTGGGACTCAGAGAGGCAGAGACCCTGGGGACAGGACTGAGAGCCGCCATAACTGCTCTCTCCGGCCCACCCTGTTGATCCTGTGCGACCCGCCCCGCCCAAGCCCTGCACACAGGCATTTGCCGGATAGCCTCAGGCAAAGGCTAGATTAGCACCTCCCTAGAGGACAGAAGTTCTCTCACTGCTGACACAGCTGATTCTCATAGCCACTTGGCCTGGAGGTCAAACCCTCCCTGGAATTAGCTACAACAATCAAGATTTAACTATAAGACTGTGAACAAAGACCACTAGGGGGTGCACCAAGGAAGCATAACAAAATGCGGAGACAAAGAAACAGGACAAAATTGTCAATGGAAGATATAGAGTTCAGAACCACACTTTTAAGGTCTCTCAAGAACTGTTTAGAAGCCGTCGATAAACTTAATGAGATCTACAAGAAAACTAATAAGACCCTCGATCTTATATTGGGGAACCAACTAGAAATTAAGCATACACGGACTGAAATAACGAATATTATACAGACTCCCGACAGCAGACCAGAGGAGCGCAAGAATCAAGTCAATGATTTGAAATGCGAGGAAGCAAAAAACACCCAACCGGAAAAGCAAAATGAAAAAAGAATCCAAAAATGCGAGGATAGTGTAAGGAGCCTCTGGGACAGCTTCAAGCGTACCAACATCAGAATTATAGGGGTGCCAGAAGATGAGAGAGAGCAAGATATTGAAAACCTATTTGAAGAAATAATGACAGAAAACTTCCCCCACCTGGTGAAAGAAATGGACTTACAGGTCCAAGAAGCGCGGAGAACCCCAAACAAAAGGAATCCAAAGAGGACCACACCAAGACACATCATAATTAAAATGCCAAGAGCAAAAGATAAAGAGAGAATCTTAAAAACAGCAAGAGAAAGAAACTCAGTTACCTACAAGGGAATACCCATACGACTGTCAGCTGATTTCTCAACAGAAACTTTGCAGGCCAGAAGGGAGTGGC